AAAGCCTCATATATATTTATCCAACAATCTTTTTACAAAGGCCAGAATAGCCCAATACAAAAACCTACAACGACCGAAACGGCCTCCGAAAGATGCAAAAAAGGCAAAAATAAATAAGCCTAAGTGGCCTGGTCCCCATCGAAGGTAGCATCTTCATCCTCGGGATCGTCCCCGTCTTCAGACTTGCTTAAGCTCTTGGAATCTTCCTCGGGAAAGGCCAGCTTCCGTGCCTTGTCTTCTTCTGATTTGGCACTCTCGAGTTCAGCTAGTACGTCGAAGTTCTGAGCATGAACTCCTTCGAGGGCTTCCCTTTGAGCTTGCCACTTTGTATGCTCCACCATACTTTTAGCCTGCGCTTGGATCGCCTCGGCGACAACCTTGAATTGGGCCACTATGACGTCAGCCTCGGTCATGGCCTTAACCATCTCTGATGTGGACGCCTCGAGTTCCTTGGCCAGATTCTCTTTACCAGAAGTAGCCGAGTCCAACTGAGACTGGAGCTCCTCGATCTCCTTGGCCTGCACCGTGGATTTCTCCTTTGCAACCCAAAGTTGGGCCTCGACCGACTCCAGTTGTGCTTGGACGGCTTCCTTTTTCGAGGCTAAGAGGTCCATATTTTTCCTGAACTTCTCAGCCTCGGCTTGTATCGTATCTACTTGTGCCTAGAGCTGTCTGATCTATTCAATCCTCTGTCAGACCTGCAGGATCGGATCGTTATCCGCTATGTCCAACTCATCTTCACTTTCGTGAAGTATTCAAATTACCTACTCGGTCATCTCGGTGTGTTCCCTCCGAGCAACTTCTAATTTGGCCTGAAGCTTCTCATTGAGAAGCTTGTAGGTGTCCCTCTTCTCAGTAAGCACTCAAACCTCAGCCTCGTGTTGGTTTGACTCCTCCCGGTATCGAAGGAAAGTTTCATGGTGCAGTACCGAGGCCTACAAACATAAAGGAAGGTGTTATGATTGTTTTCGACTTTAAGTTTAAAATACATAATGAGAAAGACACTCAAAGTTACCGGATTCAATGTTTGTTGAGCTTCATTGAAAAGGCAGGGGATTTCCACCTTGTCCATCACAGCCTAATCCTCTTCGGTCACCAAACTTCGAAGATAGCTAGAGACCCTCATGGGGGTAGATAAAACCTGGGCATCCTCTGGGATATAGAAAACTATCGACCGCTTTTGGTCAGGGTCGACACTCGGAGCCGGGAACCAATCAACTAACATCAGGCTCGAGGAATACCCATGGCTCCCAGCGATGGTACCTTCTTTGGTACCGGCAAATCTCCGAGCCCCGTGACGTCCTCTAAGGCAGCAGACTCTGACCCGTCTAAGAAGTTGTGGATATCTGCAGCCCCCTGTGGCCCCTCGCAAGAACGGTTTTCTAGCATGTCGGCCTCACGGATCATGTCATCTGAGAACTGGGGAGACCCCCCGTTAAGGTCGATCGCCCCAAGCACGTCTTTTGGGGTACTTTCCTCTACTCGAGGAGTATCAGCCTCGGTCTCCCTCTCGACCCCCCTACCTTGGGGCGGAGTGACCTCACCCCCTTCTAGTTTGGGAGCTTCGGCTAAGAGTCCCTCATCGACCTCCTCATGTCAGGACAGTTCGATTTCGGCATCTGCCGGTTCGGAGGGCCCTTGTATCACGACACATGCCCACACGCAGGCCACTAGCTTTAATTGCTCTTCTTCTTCTTCTTCTTCTTCTTCTCCTTCTTCAAATTCGTCCCTTAGCCAGCAGATCGAGTCCGAGGATAGAGCGCTGGTGCTTTCCTTGGGCTTGCGCGACCTCTTCTTCAGTTTTTTCTGAGTTCGGGGAACTCGGGGTCCTTTTTCTATTCTTTTCATCACCCTGCCTCCGAGCAGGGGACTCAAAAGGCACATCCTATTCACCGAATCGAGGCCTCATAGTAACATCTTTGGGAGACCTACAAAAGAAAACAGAACCGATAAGAATTCGACAGCACAATCAGGAAACTAAACATTATTACATCAGAAGAGAAAACCTACCATGATTACAGACCTCCCACTGACCCTTTGACAATTCGCGTCATGCGCGCTCGGAATATGGTCTTTGTGACACCAGGCTCTCGACCCACTCTTTGAGCTGAGGGATCGCATCCGGCATCCGAGACACAGCTGCATCACAAAAAACACCGATAAGAAGGAGAGAAAGGGAAGAAAAAATAAATAAAGTCTTTAAGGAGAAGCTATACTTATGCTTCATGTTCCATTTCTCGGGAAATGGCATATCCTCGGCAGGGATCAAGTCCGAGCTCCTCACTCAAACAAATCGGCCAATCCAGCCTCGGTCCCGGTCCTCATCTATACTCAGGAATGGGGCCCTGGTGTCCCGACAAACAAGTTTGATTAGCCCCCCTTGATATAGTCGGGGACTGTACGGCGCATAAGATGATCGAGGGTGAAGTCACATCCCTCGATTTTACTGACGAAAAAATAAAGGAGGATCACTATCCTTCAGAAAGAGGGGTGAATCTGACCAAGGGTCACTTCGTACCTTTTGCAGAAGGCAGTAATGATCGGGTCTAAGGGGCCCAACTTGAAGAGGTAAGTGTAAACACTTAAATAACCCTTCACGTGGGTAGTGATTGATTCCTTAGGCGAGGGCACCACCACATGTTTATCTATCCAGTTACAATCTTCTCTGACCTTGGGGAGGAGATCGTCGGTGATTGTACATATATATCTCGAGACCGGCTCACATCGACTTGGTACCGATTAAGTATTTCGATCTTAAAGTCAGCACCGATCGGGCATCCTCCTGGAATGAACTCTTCAGAGGGTGGCTTCGCCGCAGTCCCATCGCCGGCAGCCCGTGATGAAGAGGCTTTTTCTTTCTGTGGAACGGTTTTAGAATTTTTTCCATTCTAAAGAAGAGATGAAGAAAAGGAGATTAAGAAGGTACGCTTAGTGGTTACAAAAGGTTCAAGAAATCTGTGCACGAAAGTTGGAGAGTGAAAGAGGTTCTTAATGAACAAGAGTAGAAGAAGCTTTTTTGGACATAAAATTTGGGTGAATGAAAGTTGAGGTATTTATAGTTTGTTAATGGCGGTTCAAAACTAGTAGTGGGCGACCAACACTGACACACATTTAATGTCTTGGCTACTGGGCCGAGAGGATGTTTCAATGACCTTTTGTCGCTTACATCATGATCTATCGGAATGAGGCTCGAAAATTCATATCGTTTCTCGTCATCTTCTCTTCGAAAAATGAGGGGACTATCTGTATACGGTCGAAACCGGATTCATCCATTGTTTGACCAATCGAGGCTAAAATATGGCAGGTCAAGGCTTGATCTCGGATTATATCGAACCAAGGCGCAAAATTGGATCATCGAGCTCGTGACCTAGAGATCGAGTAAGATCGAGACAGGTAAAGTTGAGTTAGGTTCTAAGAAGGCATACCTGAGATGAGGTGGCAGTGGCTTCAGTTCCAACTTTGGTGGCTCTTCTATCGATGGCTTAGCTGGAGGAGTTTTTCTTTCCTCTAAGTGCAAAGGCTCAAATTCGAGCTCCCTTCTCCAAAAACCTTGGCATTCAAGAGCAAGTACCTACTCTACCAAGTATTCTCCATTGGCTTCATCTAAGTTCATGAGACAGGATGCTAGAGGGTCTTTAGTGTTCAATGTCTCATCTTCCTCCTCCAAAATTACATCCACGGCATCTATTAGAGAGAAATTAGCAAATTCACTTGGTCGCCGCATAGATTTCTGCATGTTGAATGTTATCTCTTCATCATTTAATCTCCTTTTGAGCTCTTCAGTTTCATAGTCAATTAAAGCTCTCCTAGTGGCCAAGAATGGTCTTCCCAAAATTATGGGAATTTCCTCGTCAACCCGACAGTCAAGAATGACAAAATCTGCTGGGAACACAAACTTCCCAACCTGTACTAATACATTATCTAGAATACCAGAGGGCCTCTTCATTGTCCGGTCAGCCAGCTGTAGTCACATAGACGTGGGTCTAGCTCTTCCAATGCCTAGCCTTTTGTAGATAGCCAGGGGCATAAGGTTTATGCTTGCCCCCAGATCACACAGTGCCTTAGCAAATGCATAGTTGCCTATTGTGCATGGGATTGTGAAACCCCCTGGTTCAGACAGCTTCTCAGCTATGGGTCTCGTCACAACAGCACTGCAAGTCTGAGTCAGTGTAATCGTGGTCAAGTCTTGAAAGTCGAACTTGCAGGTCATAAAGTCCTTTATCATTTTCGCATAACCAGGCAGCTCCCATCAATCAATTGAATGTTTACCCGAATTTGCTTCAACGTCTCCAAGAATTTCTTGTATTGCTCATCTTTCTGATACTTGGCCAATCTCTGTGGGAATGGTGCTGGAGGTCGCTTCTTCCCTGTGATTTGATTTTTTTCTTGTTCAGGCACTACTTCTACTATCGTTTCCTATGCTACCTCAGTCTCTTTCACAACCTCTTTTTCTTTGTTGGCGTTCTCTTGTGCATGTTGTACCGTCACCTCAGTTAACCCAGCTGAATCATATATCTCAATGGGTACTGGCACTAGTGTCTCAGTAGGTCTGCTTTCACAAGCAATTTCTTGCTACAGATCTAGGTCTCTACCATTTCTTAGACTCATTGTCATAAGCTATTTTGGGCCCTGCTCTTTTGGATTGATTTGTATGTATGCAGGTAACTTCCCTTGGGGACGATTATTTAAATCCATTGAAATCTGTCTTAATTGAATCTCAATATTCTTTATCGCTGATTCATGTGAGTCTACTCTTTCAGTTATTTTTCCAGAGGACCCAATCAATTGTTGCATCATTCCCTCATCGTGTCTCACAATCTGTTGTTGTTGAGGTTGTTGATAAGCCTGCTGTTGATTTTGCTGGTTGTAACCCTGTTGCCTTTGGTAAGGCACCACTTGACCATATGGTCACATAGCCCCAAGATAGTTGCTGTTGTTGTACTGCTGCTGAGCTGGTCTATATTGTTGATTCTGCTGACCCCAATTCTGACCACCTTCCCTCTGTCCCCCATAGTTGGCCACATAGTTATATTTTCCTGATATTGCTGGTTATCACCTTCTACACTCCACGAGCAAACATATGGTTGATTAATGCATGAAGTACATAAGCCTCCATTAGTTGCATCAACTATGTGTACCTGCTGCTTCTGGCCTCATTCATCGACCTTTTTGGTGAGGATACTCATTTGTGTCACTAGAGTGGCCATATTTTCAGCTATGGAGTTAGTTGGTTCTAAAACCACTGAGTGAACTACAGGAGTGATTGGAGAGTTTCTTGTCTTCCATCCTGAGTTTTGGGCCGTCTTTTCAAGTAGGATCTTACTTTCTCTGAATGTTTTGCTTAAAAATGCTCCACCTGCTGAAGCATCAACATTGGCCTTCAAGCTATCTGCCAATCCCATGTAAAACCTCTGCCCCAACATCTGCTCCGGAATACCATGATGTGGACACGTAACTAGCAGACCCTTGAACCTCCCCCACGTTTCTTGTAATGTCTCTTTTGGTTTCTGTCTGAAGCTCAATATCTCATCAATTTGTTGAGCAGTCTTATTGGGTGGGTAGAATTTGTTCACAAATTGCTTGACTAATTCCTCCCAAGTAGTGATGGAGTTTATGGGGAGTGAATTAAGCCAAGTTTGAGCCGCTCCCGTCACTGAAAATGGAAACAACAACAGTCTTATTGCTTCTGGTGTCACATTATGTTGCCTTTGCGTGGCACATATCGACAGGAAATTCTTTAGATGCTGCTGAGGATCTTCAACGTATGACCCGGAGAACAGTCCCTTGTTCTGCAACAAATGTAACATGTTATTTGTGATTTGGAATGATTCTTCTTGTATCTGAGGGACTGCAATTGCAGTTGCTAAATTATCAGCGGTGAGTTGCGCCCAACCATACAATGCTGCTTCTGGCACAAGAGGCATCACACCCTGATTGTTCAGGTCCACGTTGTTTCTGTTGTTTAGATTATCGTCTTCCATGTCTGGTTCAATTTGTTCTATTGAGTTCTGTTGTTGTTTTCCCTTCTTGTTTGCACGATTCAATGCCTTGAAAACTTTCAGGATCTGATAATGCTTCGAACAATTCACCAGCTCTTGAGGAGTTTCTAGGCATGCACCTGTAACACCCAAGACTACAAACGTTAGAATTTCAATGTATTCAGTTTAAATTGAAGAAAATTGACTACACTAAGAATTTTAGCACTTCTTTTAGCTGCAATTAATAACACCGTTAATTCCCCGGCAACGGCGCCAAAAGTTGATCACGCCCAACTATGTCTTACAAAAAAGGACAAAGCGGTCGCTGCAAATATATTCTGGTTAACAAGTCCAGAGTCGAATCCCACAGGGAATTAACCTATCAATCACAACTATTGAACTCACACAAATTCACGTATTCAATCTTCAGAAATATTTACGTAATAGATTGGATGTTTACTAACTAAATATTACGTAATGAAAATGCAATAATTAAGAACTAACTACGAACGGGTTGTAGACAAGAATTGGAATGATCTAAGGTTCGGATTTCCCCTATTGTCGGAATCCTTTCCGCTACGTTTCCTATCAATTTGCCTAAGTCTTCTCTATCGATCATGAGCACTCTGACTGTCGTAACTCTCTCCCGAGTAATTACAACAATATACTAGACATATTCTCCCGAATCACGCTAGCTAGCCTTAAGTACAGCTCACTTAGATCGCACCAAGGTTTCGTTATCCCTAGTCCCACCTTTAAACCCTTCGCATTGATCCCTCATATACGTTAGGAGTGATGTTGTTCAACAACTACCTAAATATGCACTCTCTCC